GGCCACACATGGACCAATCAGCATGCACATTCTCCCCTCTGAGGCCCATAAAAGCCCTGGGCTCAGACAGAGCTGAGCAGACCTCAGGACAACAAGCTGCAGAGACGTGTTACCCACACCATGGCCTCCTCTCTGCTGAGAGCTGCAAAAACAATGAAATGACCTGCCTGCAGAGAGATTTCCACTCCAGGGTCTCCTCTCAGCTAGGAGCTGAGCACCGGGAACATCCTGGCTGCACAAAGGAGTCGCCACTGTGGGTCTCCTCTGAGCTTTCCTAATGCTCAGTAAAGCTCTTCTTCATCTTGCTCACCCTCCACTTTGCATATCTCATTCTTCCAGGTTGCAGGACAAGAACTTGGGATCCATTGATGGCAGGGCTAAAAGAGTTGTAAAACAAACAGGGCTGAAACACATCTCATGCTCACCATGTTGCAGGCAAAGAGAACGAGAGAAGAGCTGTGGCCCTTCAGGGAGCCTAGACAGGGGAGCTCCTCTGGTCAGGGCTGTAACTCTCTCTTTGGGGCCCTTTGGTTCCTGGTATCTCCAAGCTTCTTGGCGCCACTACACTCTCCATTGCCAGCTGTGGAAGCTGCTTGCAATGTTCCCAGTTCAGCCACAGCCTCTCAGAGAGCTGGTTCCTGTGCCAGCACCTGGAGCTTCCCACCCAGCTGCAGTGGCCAGGCCTCATGCTCACTCACTGCTCCACACCTGACTCAGCCTTGGCAGACATGGGATCTAGGCCTGTCCTGTGAGCTGAGCACAGCCTGCTAGGTGGAACAAACCTAGCAGGCCCAAGCAAAACCTGGGCAAAGAGCCACTGTTCACAGAGGTTTCTGGCCAGAAAAGTGACACCTCAAGGATCCTGTAACAATATCAAAAAAGAATCCTGTGACAATATCAAAAAAGAAATACACAAATGAAGAAGTATTTTGTGTTTACTAATAGGCAGATGCATAATTGCCAAGATGTTGGTTCTTCCCAACTTGATCCACAAATTTAACGCAATCCCAATCAAATTCTCATTAAGTTATATCTAGTTATATTGTGCATATCAACAAAGTGAATCTATAGTTCATATGAAAAGGCGAAGCATACAGGATAGATAATTCAGTATTGAAGAACGGTCAGAGGACTGACACTAACCATTTTGAAGACTTACTCTAAAGTTACAAGATTTAAACCATGTGGTAGTGACAACAAAATAGACAAATACATCAATGGAACAGAATAGAGAACTGAGAAATAGACACGCATGAATCTAGTTAACTTGATCTTTAAAGAAAATTAAATTTATTTTTATTGATACATAATAATTATATATATTTATGGGGTACATATGATATTTTGAAACATGCATACAATATATAATGACCACATCAGGATATTTAGGATATTCATGATTTCAAACATTTGTCATTTCTTTGTGTTGAGAACATTTCAAACACATATTGGGTGAAAGAAGCCCATCTAAAAAGACTATGTACTGTATGATTCTAACTGTATGACATTCTGGAAAAGCAAAAGAATGGAGGCAGTGAAAGATCAGTAGTTGCCTGGGGTTAGGTGGAATGGAAGAGTAAACAGGCAGAGCAGAGAGGAATCTGGGGGCAGTGAAACTCTTCTGAATGATACTAGAATGGACAACACTTGTTATTATACATTTGTAGAACACCGTGAGTGAATGTTCATGTAAGTTAAGAACTTTGGATTATAATGTTGTGCCAATGTAACTTAATCGATTCTAAAAAATGTACCACTGTAACATGGGATGTCAATACTGGGGGAAGATGTGCATGTGTAGGAATGGGAATATATGGGAATTCTCTTTACTTCCCATGTACTTTTTCTGTGAGCCTAAAACTGCTCTAAAAAATAAGGTTTATTAATTAAAATACATAAAATCTATTAAAAACATAAACAGAAAAGTAAAGCAAACAACACCATAGTATACAAAAGTCCAGTTCTTTATAATATTCAGATTTGGCTCTGAATTATTTTTATTATTTCCTTAAAATAAATATCTAAAACAAAGGATACTGTCTCATTTGGGAAGTTTCCCATAGATTTCACATGTTGTAATTTTTTTTGTTATTTCTTTAATAATGTATGATTGTCACTGTAAATAACATTTCCACAAATTAAGTTTCAAAGTTCTAATTGGCTTTTTATTAGCAATTCATAAACTGGGTATTATCCTGTCTACAAAATAAAAAGGAGCTTTAGTGAACTAAACTGAGGAATAAGCTTTACATGTGCAAAAAATGTGTAGAAAAGAAGAAACAAGAAAAGAATAGCAAATTGGTCATTTTGAGGTTAATTTTTAAATAGGGATGAAAGTAAAATATTGTTGGAGTAACATAATTTTGCTGTGATTTTGTGACTGATTTTATGAAAGCTCAAAATTTTAGGTTTCATTTCGGTGGAATGAAACTTCAGCATGAGTGACTGCATTTTGGATCTACTCTCTTCTTTAGCATAACATTTCTCACATTCTCACATTATATTTCTTTAACATTCTTAAATTCCATCATTGGCTCCATAAATATTTAATTTCTAAATGTTAAAATGCTTATTTTTGTTATGGTTAAAAATATTAATTATTATTTTCTAGCTTGTATTTGTTTCATAGAGTATGTTTTACATTATATGGGAGTGAAGGTAATTATATTTTGGGAAGGCTCAATTTTCATGTAAACTTAGCGAAAAGGATATTTTCCGTGGTTGAGCTGTTTATGTATATGTAGAAATCTAGTCTTATGGATTATATTTTTCAAGTATTTAGCTTTGATTTATTGCCTTATCGAAGAAAGACAAAGATGGAGGTAGAATTTCTCAAAGCAATTACATGTTTCTTACCTTATGTTTACCCTTATTTTTCTAATAGTGTTATGCTAATTTAGCACACAAATATTAATAGTTATAATCTTCATAAAATTTTTGTATATATATATAAAGAGTTCAATATTTTTGTCATGAAAATGCATTTATTTTGCATGAAATAATATTGCCAGCTTTGCTCTTTTTAGTTGAACTGATCAATGTTTTTGTTTTTAAACATTCTATGATATGTTTTATCATTTGCGTGTGTATATATGCTTTTTCTGGGATTATCCTATTGTTACTCATGTATGTCCAAAATTAATGTCCAATGTGATTAATAATTTAGGCAAAACATAGTTTCAAAATCATGGCAATTATTTTATATTTACATGGCAATTATTTTATATTAATATTTTGATATTGGTTTAAAAATAATGTTTCAGAAGTGAAGTTTAAAATCATATTTTCTCCTATGTAGGTATTTCTTACCTACCTAGAAAACTAAAATACTCTATTTTTTGTTCCTAAATTCAAAGTATGGATTCCATAGGTTTGCAATGTTGCCTAATTCTTTGGCTTAAGAAATTATTCTTTCATTATGTTATTGATTTTATATTTTTTTTCTGGGATCTTAAGAACAAGAAATCCTCTTGGGTTGTCTCTTCTCACTCTTCCATGCCAATATTCTTTTATAATTTTCATCTCATTGCCAATTTCTTCTTCATTCTGAGAGAGCAATGATTCTTGTCCTTCACATAACTCATTCAGAAGTCTCACAAAATTCTATGATTTCATTGATTTTCAGGTGGATTTAATTTAGCTTTTGTATTTCTATACATGTGTAAGTATCTACAGAAATATACTTTATTATACACTTTTGGCAACTTGATTTGTTTTACAAAATTATCTATCTTAGAAATCATTCCTTGTTTTAATATGACTATATCCCTCAATGTCTTTCAATCTCCCTTAATTGTTCCCCAGTTTTAATAGCTACAGGATGTTGCACTAAATGGATTTGCATAATTTATTGTTTCCTTCCAGATCTAGTTGTGTTCAGTCTTTTAATAGTACAAACAATTCTTTCAAATAGGCTTTGTATGTAAGTCTCTTTCTCAGGAGTGAACATATTTGTAGGATAAATTCCTAAAAATAATAATTGCTAGAATTCAGAATGTTTTTGTTTTTCCTCCTTTTTTTGTTTGTATTTTTGAGAAGCACACCAAATTGACCTTCATAGACAGGTAATTTCCTTTTATGCATCCTAAAAATGCATCCAAAAGCCAAAACAGACAAATGGGATAATTAAACTTAAGAGTTTCTGCACAACAGAAGAAACAATCAATAGAGCGAACCAGCAACCAACAGAATGGGAAAAAACTTTTGCTATCTATCCATTTGACAAAAGGCTACTATCCAGAATCTGCAAAGAACTAAAGCAGATTTGCAAGAAAAAAACACACAACCCCATCAAAAAGTGGGTGAAGTACACGAACAGACACTTTTCAAAAGAAGACACTTGTATGGCCAACAAACTTATGAAAAAATGCCCATCATCACTGGTCACCAGAGAAATGCAAATCAAAATCACATTGAGATACCATCTCACACCAGTTACAATGGTGTTCATTAAAAATCTGGAGACAACAGATGCTGGAGAGGTTGTAGAGAAAAAGGAACACTTTTACACTGTTGGTGGGAGTGTAAATTAGTTTAACCATTGTGGAAGACAGTGTGGCAATTCCTCAAGGATCTAAAAATAGAAATTCCATTTGACCCAGCAATCTCATTACTGGGTATATACCCAAGGGATTATAAATCATTCTACTATAGAGACACATGCACATGTATGTTCATTGCAGCACTGTTTACAATAGCAAAGACCTAGAACCAACCCAAATGCCCATCAATGATAGACTGGATAAAGAAAATGTGGCACATATACACCATGGAATACTATGCAGCCATAAAAAATGATGAGTTTGTGTTCTTTGAATCTGGAAACCATCATTCTTAGCAAACTGACACAAGAACAGAAAATCAAACACTGAATGTTCTCACTCACAGGAGGGTGTTGAACAATGAGAACACTTGGGCATAGGGAGGGGAACATCACACACTGGGGTAGGTTGGGGGCTGGGGGCTGGGGAGGGGCAGCAGAGAGCAGGGAGGCCGGGGAGGGAAAACACTGGGAGAAATGCCTGATGTAGGTGACTGGTGGAAGGAGACTGCAAACCACCATGGCATTTGAGTACATATGCAGCAACCCTGCAGGATGTGCGATGTACCCCAGAGCTGAAAGTACATTTTAAGTAAATAAGCTCTGTTAATCCAAGAGGCATCAGCTCCAACACCCACAGAAGTAACAGTCAATGCTAGGAATTCTAATTTCAGCATCAAGTTTTCCCATGACTCTTTCTGTTTCGGTCTGTTGCCTCACTGGACTTTGTAGCTGAGCTATGTATCTCCCATGATATAATTTATCCAAGGATTACTTTTCTGCATCTGATCTGTGGTTTTCTGAGAGATGAAGTTGTCATTTCTGAATGAATTTAAGGAGAAGTTGATTATGGGAGGAGGAAATTGGAAGGGACGTAGCAACCCTCAGCTCTTTTATTGTATCTGGTTTGTTTTCTCAATGTCTATTATGGATTATGAGCCATCATCCAAGCTGTAAGCAATAAATAAATTATCTCTGCATCCTCATCAAACTATAGTATTTGTATTATCTTAAGCAAAATGCACATGTGATTCTTCTCTCAACTCTGTAAGTTTTGTAGCTTCCAAATTTTGATAATAGGATGGCTATGAATATCAGTTTTTATTGCTGTTTTCTTTTTGTTTATATTTGTGTTGCTATTTTATTGACAGGTTTGGAGAGATTACATGAAGAGAGATGACCAGAATATGCATTTACTTAAAATTATTGGTTTAATTTGGAATTTGAATTAGGTCATTCTCTTAGAAGACATGTATTTCTGTCTCAGAGACTTAATGTGTAAACCATATTTAACAATTGTGTTCTCATTTTAAGTGAAATATAGGAGCTAAATCTATAAAGAAATAATATTATGAGAACTTTTATACAGTAAATAACTATCTGTTAATTTACTTGTATGTAAATTTGCATTTCTATATGGCATAACATTAAGGAAATTGTCCATTGTAGCTTATGTTTCTCTATATTCTGGAAAACATCTATACCAATATTTAGTTTCTTCCAAAATTATTTACTCCATTGGGCCTCTGCCTCCATCTCTTTTCCTGGCATAGTCTTCTCTTCTACTTATTCACAGTTTTATCCTTGAATTAAGTTGTTTTTTTTTTCTGCACTCTTATTATGCTGGAAACCTTCCTGTCAATTTGCAAGGAAGCAATACTTTTTGTTGATTTCCCTTTGAAAGAGAAAAGCAAGCTTCTAAACTAAGAAAGATCAAATCACCATAAACTATTAGTATGATATTGTATTCGAAAGCAAAGAACCTATCTATAACTAAAGATCTCAGTCAAAAACACCTGGAACTATTTTATCTTCAACAGCATGCAAAGGCTATATTTACCAGAGTTAAAAAACAAATTTTGTGTTTTCCTTTTATTGTTTCAGGAATTAAAAATTTTAAATAAACTATAAGGAGATGGAAAAAAAATCACATATTGGAACGGGAGCAGAGGAGAGATTATTCTACAATTTGACCTATTAGAGAAATTAAACACATAGGTCCCTTAAATATTACATAATAACTTCAAAAATGAATGATATTTTATTTTTAAAAGCAAAGAACCATACAACAGGTATGTGTTTTTGTTTCCTCTTTTCCATATGTCAGGGTGAAATCAGCTGTGAGTGATTTATTATTCATGAGATATACTCATTCATATTTGTGATAACTCATTTCTTATGTTTAAAGTTGATAGTCTTCATTTTGAATATTTTCAACTATAAACTTTAAAAGGAGAAACATAAATGCTAACTAATGTATAATTCCCCAATTTACATGTAAAGAGATACTTTTGTCATGTTCCAAATTTTCATTTATTTTGAATACTTTTCTTTTTTCTTTTTTCCTTAAGGGCCAAGGATAATTCTATCAAAGGACAAAGATGTTGCTTTTAATTGCTCAGTTACTCTATCTAGTGATCCAACTTTGGCTTCAGGTTGCTATAGCAATTAAAATGGAAAAACTGGCACCAAAGCTTATTAAACTTCATTTAATCCATTATATATGGTTACAGGCAACCAAAAAGCTTCCTACATATTCTGAAATGGATGCATCACCTCTGCAGATAATTAAGTGTTTTGGTGGGAATTTGTTCGAAAACCCAGTGTACAATTAGACAAATATGTTCACATACCATGTTTCACTGAAATCTGTATGAGTATACATGCTTGTCAGTGGGTCCTGATCCTAAATGCTTTTATGCCTGATTAATTGTCGATATCAGGCAGTAGCTTGCTCATTAGCTTCATTCAGGGTCCATTTTAGATTGCAATGAGCTTCATTTAGAGATGATATGCTACCTGTTAATAAACTGAATTGAATTTTTGTGTGTGAACAGATCCTGTTGGAAATAATATAAAAATCTTCCAAAGGGACTGAATATGTTTCGATTATTCTGTCTTGTAAAATTTACTATTAGATTATCTATGTTGCTTTAATTAAACACAAACTTTGTGTTTGTTCTTTATTTTATATTTTATGTTTCAATGTATCTGGTGTCTCTCACAGATATACTGACACTATCAACTAATATTACTTCTGTATGTAATTAAAACAAACTGATTTTAAGGTTCACTAGCTCTTGGTAACTAATTTTTTAGGCAGACATTGCAGACAAATGTATATTTTAGGTATTAATAAAAGCTCTAAAGGTAACTCACTCAATATTTTTCTCTTTCATTCACTAAAATTATTAGAAGACCAGATTATAGATCTGTTTTATTAACATATGTTGGAAACATGGAGTTAGGAACATTTTCTAGAAAGTACAGCAGGAGATACTAAAGTTTGCCCAAAAAAGAGGACCTAAATGAGTCCTGCCCACAACTATTCTTTCTTGATTTTCAGATCATAAGTATTTGTTTCATTTTTTATATTTTGTATTAAGCTAGATATGGACTAAATTTTGTCATAAAGAAAGCTATCCTTTCAAGAATCACAAGTTAAAATCAAGTCAAAATTTTTTAAATGACCAAAACATTATTATTAAATTCACTTAGTATTATTAATACTAAGCCCTAAAAGTAGAATAAGTTTACTAAATAAACTAATTGCTATTTCCATTATTTTATCTAGACTAGGAGAATTACTCTTTATAAAATGTAGCTCACTGTCTCCTTCTGTGCTTTTTAGAAAATGTTCCTAACTCCATAAATGTCTTCAACATACATCAATAAAACAGGTTTATTATTGGGTCTTCTAATAATTGTAGTGAATTAGAATGATAAAATACATTGTTTGGAGCTGCCTATAGGCAAGAAAATATATTGTGAGAAGTCATAGAACTTTGCTTAGAAAGAGGTGCAAATATATCAATAAAGTAGTCAATATTGGTAATAATAATGTATATTTAGGGATACATATGATATTAGAAATAATCTGTACTCAATACTTATCTCTAAGTTTAAAAATAAATATAATAACAATTACTAAGCACAACATCTTTTCTTGTTTTTTAGGTCTTAATACATTGGAATTTCCACTGATTAAGTTCTAAAAAATAATTATCACTGGTATTGAATAAAAAGATAAAAAGACCTTGAATAGGTAGTATAAAATATACATTTTTGGTGGCATTTAGCAGACAATTAAAAATCTTACTTCTCAACTAATTCACGTAAATAGAGGAAAAATCTTGTTTAGTGATATTTTGCAGTTCTCACAAAGACATAGGAAAGGCAATAACGGAATTTTTATTTCATTAACTTACAAAATAGCAGACATTCATTTTTGGAAAGAAAAGTATACTTCTTGATAGATATTTTATACTCAGATATCCCACTGGCTGTATTTCGTTTGGTCTCTTTTTTAAAGCAAGTTCAGAAGACAAAGACTTTTCTCTTAAATTATTGTAAAAAGAGGAATATAGGGCTCCTGAGCATCTCTTTGTAATACCCCATATTTAATGATATATTTTAAAGAGTTCTGTGACTTTACTTTTATCAACTACCAATTTTAAATCAATTCTACATAAATTTTTTATTGCATGCAAAGATGACTATACATGAAAACATTGCTTTGTGCCAAATATATGCTATAACAATAATTTGGTAACTTCTATGAAAGTAAGATGAGGACTCACAACAGATTTTAAAATATAATTATTAGAAAACAAAGCTTCAGGAACCTTTGAAATAAGAATATCTCTTCAAATGGGACGTACATTCCTTACTAATATGGTTTGGCTGTGTCCCCACCCAAATCTCACCTTGAACTGTAGCTCCCATGATTCCCACATGTTATGGGAGGGACCCAGTGGGATGTAATTGATTCATGTGGTGGGTCTTTCCCATGCTGTTCACATGATAGTGAATAAGTCTGACAAGATCTGCTGGTTTTATAAGGTGGAGTTTCCCTACACAAGTTCTCTCTTTGCCTGCTGCCATCCATGTAAGATGTGACTTGCTCCTCCTGGACTTCTGCCCTGATTGTGAGGCCTCCTCAGTCATGTGAAACTGTAAGTCCATTTAACCTCCATTACCCAGTCTTGGGTGTGTCTTTATTAGCAGTGTAAAAACAGACTAGTACACTAATAAATAAGGCAACTTTGCTTCCTAATGAGATCCTTTCATTCATTCAGGAGATCCTCCTAAAGTGTATGGTGCTTTTCCACCAGTTGGAGTTCAAGGTCTCAATTCCTTTTTCCAATGATGGCAACTATTATTTCCAAGCCCTACTGATTGAAAATTGCAGGGATGGCTGTTTTCTGAATATACACTGAGCATATTTTACTCTGTGCTTTTTCTTATATATATCTAGATATCTACTATCCATCTCAAATGATGAAGACTGTATCTTCTTGTTTTTCTTGGTCCTTGTTAGTTCCACTATCTTAATGCTTTCCTGAACACCATGGGGATGTGCTCCCTTCCATGAAATTTTTATGATTTTTGGCTGTTCCCTTCTTATTTTACTTACCTTGCAGTATAGTTATTGGTTTGAGCAGCATCATAGACTCCTGTGATATTGGAATATATATTCATGATTAACAATGAGAAAGCAAACACAATGAGTGCAAACTCCATACTAGTACATGAAAATAATATTTTTTCTAGTGGTAGAGGAATGGGAATTTTTTGTTTATTTATTTATTATTTATTTTTAAATTTTTTTTGAGACAAGGTCTGATTCTGTTGCCTAGGCTAGAGTGTAGTGACACCATCACAGCTCACCACATCCTTGACCCACCAGGGTCAAGTCATCTTTCTGCCTCAGCTTCCATGGTTCCAAGTAGCTGAAACTACAAGCACACGCCACCACAGCCCCCTAAATTTGTATTATTTATAGATACGGGGTCTTGCTATGTTGCTCAGTGAAATGGTTAGACTTTGCATCCCCACCCAAATTTCATCTTGAATTGTAAATCCCAGAATCCTACATATCAAGGGAGAGACAAGGTGGAGGTAATTAAATTATGGGGGGAGTTCCCCCATGCTGTTTTCATGATAGTGAGTGAGTCTCACAAAATCTGATGGTCTTATAAGCAGCTCTTCCTCCTTCTCTCAGCAATTCTCTTTCCTGTAGCCTTGTGAGGAAGGTGTCTTGCTTCCTCTTCATCTTCCACCATGATTTTAAGTATCCTGTGGCTTCTCCAGGATATTTAACGATAGTCAATTAAACCTCTTTCTTTTACAGGTTACTCAGTCTTGAGGAATTCTTTATAGCAGTATGAAATAGACTAATACACCCAGCCCGGTCACTAAATCTAAGTCTCAAGTGATGTGATCCTCCTGCTTCAGCTCCCCAAATTGCAGGGATTACAGGTATGAGCCGCTGCACCTGGCCTAAGGGAAAATAAATTTTAATAAGTAGCTATATATACAGTTCTAGTTGTGTGTGTGTGTATATGTATATATCAATTCTGAGTAAATTTATAGAGTTGTGCAATCATCACCACAATCCAGTTTTAGAACATTTCAGTCACTAATCTACTACTTGTATTTATATATTAGCCTTTACTAAGTTTTTCTTACAAATGGAATCATACCAATATGGTCTTTTCCATCTGACTCTGTTCACTTAGCATGATATTCTGAAGTTCATTCATGACTTAGCATCTACCGATAACTTGTCCATTTTATTGCTGAATGGTATCCAATTTTTATATGGTTACCTTTCATTTTGTTTATTGAACAGTTGAAGGAAATATGTATTGCTTCCAATTTGAAACTTCTATGAAGAATGCTGCTATAAAAATAAACTTTCCTATGCAAGTCTTTGTGTGGGTGTGTGTTTCCTTTCCTCTTAGATTTCTCAGAATTAAATGTGTGGGTTATTTGATAAGTTTATGCTAACTTTTTAAATAACTGCTAAACTTTTTCAAAGTGGCTTAACCATTGTACATTTCCCCCAGCAATTTATGAGGGTTTTGGTTTTTCCATATCTTGGTCAACATTTGGTGTCATCTTTTCTCCAAAAGAGAGAGAGGAAAAAAAACCCTTCTGATAGGTGTAAAGTGGCATCTAATTGTTGTTTTAATTTTTCATTTTCTTAATAACTAATAATGTTTATAACTTTTCATGTGATCATTGGTCATTCGTGTATCTTCTTTGGTGAAATATCTATCCAAATATTTTACTCATTTTCACATTGGGTTGTTCATTTGTTTTTTATTATTGAATTGTAACAGTTCTAGATATAGTCTTGTAACTAGTCATTTATCCTATATGTGATTTGTAAGTATTTTCTTTCACTTTATGTCTTGTCTTTTAACTTTTTTGGTAATACCTTTCAAAGCTTAAAATGTTTAATTATGATGAAATTCAGTTTATCTTCCTTTTTTCTTGTTATAAGTTTCACTTTTGGCATCTCCTTAAACTAAGGTTAACAGATATTTTCTCGTGTGTTTTCTTCTGGATATTTTATGATTTTGGTTTTTATATGAGGTCTCTGAGTTATGTTTGAGTTAGTTGTGTGATAGGACACACAGGTCTACATCAGTCTTTTGACATGTAGACATTCAATCGTCCCTCTATTAGTTATATAAAAGGCTATTCTTTCCTCATTGAATTGCCGCGACACCTTTAGAAAAATTATTTGACCATAAATGTGTTTATTTCAGGACTCTCAATTCTGTACCATTGATCTATATGTTTATCCTCACACTAGCAGCATTCTATCTTGCTTAGTGTGGATTTATAGTAATTTTGATTTCTGGAAGTCTGAGTCCAATTTTATTCTTTTTCAAAGTAATTTTGGCTATTCTAGGTTCTTTGTAATTCTTTATAAATTTTAGAATCAGCTTGTCCATTTTTGCAAACAGCAGCAACAACAAAAAGACCAACTTGCTGAGATTTTGATAGGGTGTGTGTTAAATTTGTAAATCAATTTAGGAAAGAATTGACATCATAAAAGCATTAATTTTCCCATTCAAACATGTGGAATAGCTCTCCATTTAGTTAAGTCTTCTTTAGATGTGTAATAGCAATGTTTTGTAGTTATCATGTTATACATTTTGTACTTTTTATTATATTTATTCATAAGCATTCCATTCTTTTTTGATAATTTTATGAATATAATTAATTTTACTTTTGGATTATTCTTTGTATTTGAAAATACAATTACTTTTGTATATCAACCTTATATAGGTAAACATGCCGACCTTTCTGATTTGGTTTAGTAGTTGTATTGTGGCTTCCTTAAGACTTTTTATGTATATGATGACATCATCTGTGAATAAAGACAATTGTACTTCATACTTTCAAATGTACATGTCTTTATTTCTATTATTATTATTTGCCATTATATACTGGTTACAAACTCAATTAAAATGTTAAGTAGGATTGGTGACAACAGAAATCCTAGCTTTTTTTCCCATCTTTCAGGGAATGCATTCAATCTTTCAGCATTAAGTATAATGCTAGCTGTAGGTTTTATGATGATGCCTTTAGCAAGTTCAGGACACTTCCTTTCATTAGTCTGTTGAGAGTTTTCTAATCATGGATGTGTTTTGGATTTTGTCAAATCCTTTTTCTGCATCTATTTTGATGATCGTGGGCTGCATCATTATTGTCAAATGTTAAAATAACTAAATATCAAATGCTTAATAAAAATTCCTTTGTCTCTAATAGCTAGAGCCATTTGGTCACCTGTATGCACTTAAAATCACTATGTACAGGTGACTACTTTTTTTTTTTAACTAATTGTTAAGGCTGCTTCTGACTCAATGCTGGATCAAATTATTAATGCTAGGAGAGTTTTGAACATTTTCAGGAAAAAGCTCCTTTTTTTTGACTTAGTAATATGTTGGTAAGGAGTAGAAAGGTATTTTCTTTTTTAAAAAATATTTTTAATTGTGGGAAAATATATGTACCATAAAACACCTGTAAGTCATTTTTAACTGTGTATCTTAGTGACATTCAGTACATTCATAATGTTGTGCAGTTACCACCACTATTCATTTCCAGAGCATTTTTATCATCTAAAGCAGAAGCTTGGTGCCCACTAAATATCACCCCCACTTTACTCCCTACCCCTACCCTGGTAACCCTAGTAACCTCTATTCTACTTTCTGCTTTTATTTAATTGCCTTTTCTAGGTACCTCATACAAGTGAAATCATCCTACATTTTTCCTTTTGTGTCTGCATCCTTTTACTTAGCATCACGCATTCATGGTTTATCCATGGTGTAGCATGTCTCAGAGGAATTTCATTTATTTTTTGACTGTATAGTATTCCATTGTATGTTTATAGCATATTTTTTATATCCATTTATCTGTTGATGATTGACAGACATTTGGGTTGTTTCTACATTGTGGCTATTTTACATAATGCTTCTATGAACATGAGTGTATAATTTTCTCTTTGAGTCCTTGCTTTCAATCCTTTTAAGTTTCTACCCAGAAGTGAAATTTCTGGATTGTATAGTACTTCTAGGTTTCCCTTTTTGGGGAACTGCCCTACTATTTTCAACAAAGACTGTACTATTTGACCTTACTACTAGCATTGCACAAGGTATTTAACTTCTTTCTAATAGTTCTGTTTCAACTTGCTCTAATACTTTTGTTTTCTTTCAGTAAGAATCATTGTAATAGGTGTGAAGTTGTCCTTAGTTGTGGTTTTGACTTGCATTTCACTAATAATGAGTGATGCTGAGCATTTTTTCAAGTGAGTGTTGCCCATTTGTGTATCTTCCTTGGAGAATGTTTATTCAAGTCCTTTAATCATTCTTTTTCTTGTTAAATTTTAGAAGTTATTTATGTATTCTGGATATTAATCACTTATCAGGTATATGACTTACAAATATTTTCACTTGAAAGCATTCTTTGATGTAAAACATTTTAATTTTGATGAAATTCAATTTGCTTATTATTTTATTTCCTATGCTTTTGATTTCATATGTAAACAACTGCTATCGAATTCAATGTCATGTAATTTTGCTATTTTTTGTAAGAGTTTTGGAATTTTACCTCTTAGTTTAGGTCTTCGATCCATTTTGAATAAGTTTTTGTATGTGGTATATGGTAAAAGTTTTACATGATTCTTTTGCCTGTGAATATCCAGTTTTCTTAAGTTCCCTTTGTTGAAAGGAATGTCCTTTCCTTCATTAAATGACCTTGGCACTTTTGTTAAAAATCAATTGACTTTATATGCAAGGATTTATTCTGAGGCTCTCTATCTATTGCATTGGCCTATATGTCTGTCCTTAAGCCAACACCACACTGTTATGACTACTATACCTTTGTAATGCCTTTTAAAATTGGGAAGTGTGATTCCTTCATCTTTGTTTTTATTTTTCAAGATAACTTTGGCTGTTGAAATTGCTTGAAATTTCACATAACCATCAGTATGAATTTTTCTATTCCTACAAAATGAAAACACTTGGTATTTTTGATTGTTATTGCATTGAATCTGTAAATCACTTTGGGTAGTGTGGTCCTCTTGACACTATTATGTCTTCTAATCTATGAACAAGACGTCTTTTCATTTATCTAATCTTTTATATATAATGTTTTGTAG